GGTATCTATTCTGTGACCGCTTGAAATGACCTCTAACAAAGTTCTAAGCCTTTTTATCAAATCTAAATCTACTCCGGTAATTCTAGATGCTGTCTCAGGATCACAGAAAAATCGTCTTGATACATTGCCTGTGTTAGTATTTCCAAAACCAGCTTTTGGTACATCTACTAGTAGTGACATTTCTTCTTTAAATTGTTGCTGTATACGTATTTTATTCTCATTTACAATTTTTGTCAGCAGAAGACCTTGATTGCCATTTTTTGTGTAGGTAATTTGTACGCCAAATGTAGAATCGATTCAAATAATCTTATTCTCATGTAATATTGAAAGACCAAACTTCAAAGTCGCAGGGTCTTCTTCTCTTCTTGTTTCTAATTTATTGAAATCTTTTGATGTTGCTTTGCAAATATAAACGCATTGTTGATAGGGTATTAGTTGCCGCATTGCAGACTTTTCCATCCACCATAGTAAATAAAAACAGATGCTTTACTTTTATCACTTCACTATTCAAAATATTTCAGATAGGTTTAATTTTTCAATTTGACTTTCTATATAACTAATTTCATTTCTTGTGATGTCGTTAGTTTCATGCACAAATCTGATTCGAATAGGTCTACAAAATCTTGGACTCGACGGGACGGGGTTTTGCCAAATGACTTTACTGGCTGTTATGACTAACAAGTAATCTCAAAGGCAAAAACGAGCTTTGGAATATATTTGCATCGTCATAGCTTTCGTTCGTATTTTGTAAGGTTGCATATACCGTGTCTGTTGAGATCCGTCACATCCCCATTTTGATATAAGTTTTAAATTTTCCTTCTCTTCACTTGAAAGTCCTTTCAAAACTTCTTCAAATGGTGAAGCAGTGTGATCTACCAAATCTTGCAGTTTAATCTCAGCATGTGTCAGTGACATGAAATGACTCAGGCTTAGGGTAACAATCAGCTTTCGCTTTTGCAAAGAATAACACGGATAGAGCTGTTTTCTAGCACTGCGTATCACATTGTACTGACTTCGAGACAAACCTGCTTCTACGAACATTGATAAGGCTTCCATTGTTGATAACCGCTGTATATTTTCTTGTTTTGTGTGATTACTTTACGTATTTTGTATGCTCTAGTCGGGGACTTGGTAATTTCTTTATGATAGCCGAAGCATCGCTTTTTCCTGCGGCTCTTAGACTCATTTGAGCAGCATATGTTAACGTTGCATCGGGTACCTGCGCCCGAGTTCTTTTGTTTGCGCCGTTTACTGCGATCACTTAACTCCCAAACTCTTTTGAGGGCCGGCCGACCAGTCTTTGTTTTACCCAGGCCGATAACTTTATAGTACCTGTAAGCCACTTAGCATTGTTCTGGAGGAATCTTTCTTCTTTGTACGATGCCGCCGTCCATTTTGTCTGAACTGCCATTTGAACAGTTTCAATTCCTTTTGAGACTACTTATTTTTCAGTTGGACAATTAGTTTCCCTAATGACACAATCCTCCATGTATGCGAACTTGTCATCAAGTAATCGTCCAGAACTTTGCTTTATATAGTTGTAGAGATCTGTCCTACTTTTCTCCCGGACAGTTTCTTCAAATCCTATGAGGACAAAATATTTTAAATTTAGTACCTAAATTACTGTTTCATATAAAGAACTATATTTCGAAAAGGCGGATGTTGGCGGATTATGTTTTGGTTTAAATGATAGTACACAAGATAGGCTAATATTTGTGCTATCATTTTTACCGATATCCGAACTTTATAACTAAAACACTAAAAAGGAAAAATAAAACTATAATTTATGCTAAGTTTAATGTTTGCTAATAAAATTAAAAATATTTATATGAATGATATACAAATGAATATAAGTTTTAAAATACAGTACATACCTCGATCTTCAAGATCCATTATAAAAACTTCACCACTTCTCAGAAATCTTACAATAGCGGTTAATAAAACTCGCTTTTTAAGCGACGACGAACAAAGACGTGCGATAGGAACAACGACTAAATTCCGACTGTCGGAGGGGCAAACAAAATTGAATGACACTTGTAGGTGATCGGGCGTGACGTCATAACTATTCAACAATGAGAAATGAAGGTTCATTTACTAATTGGGTACAAATTTTGATTTCGACTTTTCCGGTTTTGCTTCTAATACCCCTGGTGCGGCGGTTGGCATTACATCATCCTTATAAACTCATGCTCAATTTTCCTCACGTGTAGGAAAATCGTAAAAGAGAGTGTAAATTTCATCACCTGTTCTGATTTTAGATATTATTAGATGACTGTCTTCATAAAACAACCTTAATATCTGTCGGCCGATGCTTTCACGTTCAGATTTTTGGCGTTGTGTGATGTTGAACCCAACGAGAAACAATCTTCTTCGTTTTTAATTCATCATGCAAGATCTTATACACTGGAGATCTAATTTCAGAACTATTCTGAATTATGTAATATTGTAGTATTATTTTACGAAAACGGGCGACATTATCTGGAGTGACTGTCGAAAGAAGCCTTCTCGTATGACCTTCATCTTGTAGTGAGTTACGTACATTACGAAATTCTCTAAATCATAGACACATAATGACTCAAGATAGCACTTCATTATTAAATGCTGATCGTAACTTCTGCGAACATTGCTCTTCGGATTACGTTACCTTCAGATTACCTTAAGATCATAGCATGTTGCCATTGCTCACGTTACAAATGTATTTTTATGACACCCACGTTTACAAACGCGGGAAGTTACTACTGTGCGCTTTTATACTGAAGCGTACTTGTGCAGGCGCAAATATAACCGCGGGAAAACCGATGTTTGACAGCATCTCAGTAATTCCAGAATGGTCCTCGTGCATATACAAATACGAATATTGTAATATAAAAGGAGGATGTGTAGAAATTAATGAAATTACAAAAAAGAAGCATTTAACTGTCAAACTAATTCCCTCTAAAATATTAATACAGCATAAGTATAACGAAATTCGGGGTACTTTTCTTGTAGTTGCGTTTACTCCTCATTTAAAATAGAATAATTGAATAAGATAAATTAAACAGTATAAGACATAACTTATTATTTGCAACTCCTGCTTTGCTAGATTTCTACCAGACCAAATACATTATAAAGAAGGGAAGTATGTATTGTCTATATTGACATAACATTTACTGTTATAATACAAACACAATAATTAATAAATTAAAATAAATCATAAATGAAAAAAAATATCGATCTTATATATCTCTAAGCGTAATTGAATATGGATTTGTGAAGGTTAAATGTAAATAATGTAATTCCTTTTTTTTTGTGAACAAATACGTTTCATGACTATTGGTAAATCTTTTTTACAATAATGAAGAAAAAATTTGAAATAATAACGTTTTGAAACGAAGTTTCTTATCGCATGTTACACTCAGGCGCTCGGCGGATGGGAGCTACATGAAAAAATTGTAACCGCAACGAAAAATGCTGACGGCTGTTGCTTTATTTAACATTTTGATATTTTTCTTTACCACCGTCCATACCTGGATATGCATCACTTAAAGGAACTTAAAACTATTTTGACTTAAAGAGAAAGTTAATTCTATAGAGTTCAAAAAAAAATCTGCAAAATCCAACTATTATAGATATTCTCAATTGATTGTTCCTCATAACTGCTACTTAGGCTATAGACACTAGTAATAATGTCTGAACTATGCGGCATAGGACTAATTAAAAATGTTATGAAACAGGTGCTGTGACTTTACACTAAACTAAATTTTGAAATTTTGGGACATAGATGGGAACTTACTATTTGTATATTTCTTGAATGATAATGCTTCCTATTGAAAAAACGTTCTTCACGTACCGTGGAACGAATCAGTACTACATACGCACAGTCGATAACAGCTAAAACACCTTGGAAGCCAAACTTATTACGAAGTCTGTAAGTATAAAAATATGTAAATATTTGTACCATATTGAAGAAAAAAAATTACTTAAAGAAATGGTATTAACATAACCCATCAATTAACAAATACCTATCTTGACGTGTTTGTGGAAATATTATATATTTGTTTAGTATGATGAATGGTTAAGAGCCTGCGTGACTTGTTTAATACTGTCGGGGATGCTAGATTGGCTGATACATGCAAATAATTCATTCCCACGGGTTTTTGATTGGAGCTACTCGCATAAAATGCCAAAGCAGTAAACACCTGCAAGAGGAAGAAAGGGTATTAAAGGTAAAAGGTAATTATAAGGATAAATATTATAAGGGTAAAGGGATAACTCGATTAAAATAATAGTTATAGGTTTGGGTACAGTTTGAGTAAATACAGACACCAATCTAACATTCCTCACATTCAACGGCGATTTTAGTACGTCTTCGACTTCTCTCCATCAATGGTTTTAATTCTGAGCACAAAACTAAAAATAACTCCTTACTCAATCGATAATGCGCTTGAAACTCTGGCTCAGAAAGTTTTAAGGCGGCGGCTTCAAATCGCAATTGTCGCCGTAATCTATATGTTTTAAGGTTAAGGCATCTACTTCTGTTTTCCTTAACATTAAAGCTCGTGTCATTTTGTACATTACCAGAATAAGTAACCTATATAATAAATAATAGGAACATTTTAACTTACAATCTATAAAGTATCAATTGTTTAACGAAATTTATGCAATTAAATTAATATCAAATATCAAAGATATTTTGATTATGTACTTACTAAGACACAACAGAAAATCTTCTTTTAGCAGAAAAATCACTCTTTACTAGTTTCGACATAACAGTTTTAATTTTAGAAATATTATGAAATCAATTTCTTCTCATTACTTACATTATGCGACAATGTGTCAAATTCACTATTACTATGAAATCCTAGCTGCCATTTAAGAGCGTTTAGTTCACTTATTCCACTGTACAGGTAGCACCATCGATAATTAATCGATTTGCGTTACATGATGTGAAATTGAGGTTGACAGGAGTTATTTCAAAATAAATACCGAATTAGCAATCGATTGGTTTTAGGTAATAAGGCCGCTGGACCTCGTCCGATCACGGAAGTTAATCAGCGTCGGGCGCGGTCAGTACTTGGACGAGTGACCGCCTGGGGAATACCGCGTGATGTTGGATTTTATTGGTGTATCATTCTTTTTGTGGTAATTTATAATAAAATATTAATTATAATGTTTATGACAATATTTTATAACCATTCCTTCATTTTTCTTTTTTTTTGTTGTATTTTTCGTTTCATTTCTTTCAAAGGTTATTAATTTATTTCATTGCGCTTGTATATAATTTTTGATTTCTTTTTTTCTTCCTAAGATTATAAATCAAGCTCTTGGATTGTTCCAGTTATGAAGAGTATTCGATTTAGAACTTTCAGTAAATACATACTTCATAAACATGTGAAACTGACATTAACAGTCTTTAATATATAAAACAGAGGGTGTTGTTTAGTGTTCTTTTTAAAATTTTAGTAATTAATAATAAAAAGGTGTTTATTTACAACTTACAAATATTTTTTACCATTTATTCACTTATATTAATATTATTATCATTTAAATACTTTCAAAGGCTTTAATTAATTTCATTGTTATTATTTCATTTATAAAATACATTTACATATAGCGAAAGGAACTTCGTTCAAACCGTCCCAAAGACACCTTATGAGTTTTTTGTTACTAAATAGAACCATTTATGAAACACAGAATTACATTAATTACAAAACATACGAATTGAACCTGTGATTGAACCTGTCGAGAAAATTTTAATGCTATATTTTTTGCTTTTGCACTGTTGTGTAATTCGCGTTCCGAGCTAAACCTCACAGCTCGTCTGGCGGATCGACTTACTATTGAATCTTATACATTGGATTCAATACCTTTTGCTAAATGTGTGTGGGATTGCTTTAATGGATGCTATTTGTTGCGATTGCAATTTACTTAAGTTTCTAATACCTAAGCTATTATGTTTATTTTTTTTTTCAATTTCGTTGTGTATTTGGAGTGTGTTTGAATAGTCAAAGTAATCTCTTTATAGACACAGTTAAGATGTCTGTGATCCTAACTTGGCGCAGTAAAAATGTAAGTACCACGTAATAAATCTACAGAAAATTCAAACAAAGCAACGTTTACACAGCAAAAGTAACGAGCTTCCATTATCCGCCGTCTCATCGCGGTGGCGTTGTATTACCAGCAGAAAAAAAAACACAATACGACCTATTAACTCGAAGTCCCTCACTTAAAATAATTCAACATCCCTTTGTTGTATTGTACATTTTTTTTTAACATTTCGAAGACGCGTCCGGGTAACCCGGCGGGCGACGGTGCGAGGTGGAGAGAGGGGGGCGAGGCGTCAAATAAAAATTCTTATCGCGAATGACAATGGACACGTTCCGTGCAATGAAAGGAACAATGCAATCTCCGCGACCTCTCCACCATCGCTTCCGCTTTCTTTTTACGTACGAGGCGAAGCCGAATGCAGAGATAACGCGCTGCGGCAGCTTCGCAGCGAGGATTATCCTGACACGGCAGTGTGGTGAATCGCTTGATCCTATGTCTCGAAAATCGATGTTATACATTTTTTTAACATTTTTCAATATTTTACGTTGTAAAAAAAAAACGAGCGAATCAACGTTATAGTTGTGAACGATTTTTTTTTTGCTGCAAGCATATTTGCAAAATGCTTTCAGTGAAGGCGAGAAACTTTTCAGAAGCTTTCGTATTTCACCGTTATATTAGTTATAAAGTAATGCAACAGATGGCGCTGCTAGGTCGGTGGTGGTGTTAGTGAATTAACAGAATTATGTGTTTCAAATCATTTAAATTTTGCTTGTTAATAAAAATAAAAAATATTATTACAATCAGGAAAATGAATAGACGGCACAATATAAATAAGCAAATTTATTAATTTAAGAAATTTTACATATAATTCATTTACATCAGACAGTTAAGATATGTCGACGACATTGAGACTTGTATGTCAAAAATCATTAATAAAATAACGTAAAAAAATGCTGTAATCAAAATTTCACTCATATCAATGAATTATTATAAATAGTTTTAAAATTTTCTTATATATGCAAAACAAAAATGTTTAGTTATATAATTACTTATGTGTATTCATTATTTGTAACATGGATATATTACATATATACAAGTATTAAAAAAGAAAATTAACCTATATATATTTCGCTAATTTAAAATTGTCGATATATTTACACTAATGTTTTTCCGAGTTTTTTTCTTAAATGTAACATACAATATTTTTTTTTATAGCATCACAGTGAATTTATTAAGTAATATATCTCAATTACAATCATAAGGTCACGACAAAGGATTTGCAGTTTACAATAATTTACTTTATTTCCGTTCATCCATAAACACTTTTTAATTTAATTAGGAAAGGATCAGAAAAAATAATTTTATTAAGGAAATTAAATTTTTTTTAATACGGATCAGTAGTAGACTACAGATTCATGATAATATCAAAATTTAACTACGAGAATTTTGATTAAAACAGATTATTATATGTGTTTCACTATATTTCTTATCAGGAAAGAAATAATCTCAAAGTTTGTCATGAAATATATTTTTTTGTAATATTGAAAAAGTTATCAGAAACAGTCGGACGTGAAATTATAAGACACTCTATTATATGTTCACAGCATAAACGTTACATAGAGAACAAATTATCAAATTTAATAGTTCTGAGTATTATGAACTTATCTATAATGTCTACTTAGTAAACAACGCCATACAGGGTAGCACCTCAACTCATACAAACCTACATAATACGTAAATTATATGTTCGTATGTTTTTAGAAAATAAAACTTTTTTTAGAGTAATTAATGCAGTTAATGAGGAAGCCGTATCATTTTTTTAATTATTTTAAAATATTTTTAATGCTTTTTAAATTTTATTTTACGTGCACTGCATACTACGCTAGTGCGCGTGCCGGTCGGGGTTAGGCCCGCTCGTGAAATGCGTGAGCTGTCAAGGGCGTGCACGTGCCAGGCTAGTCCGAAACGAAATAAAAGTGTTGTAATCTCTAAACCTAACTTCCAGCTGTTAATAACATTGAATTAGTCTATTTCGCTTATGCTTTCGTATATAAATAAAAACTGTGTGTCTTTCCAGCCAACAATTTGCGACATGCCAAATACCGTTTTGTGGCTATGATTAGTATTAGACAAAATCGTTGACCTACCGCTGTCGTTCCATTTGCGAGGTTCAAGCCGGTGAAATTTTTGAATGAAATCTGTGTTTTCATTATTTCGTGTTTCTATAGAAAAATGTCTTAACTATTTATTGTCGTTAATCGGAATTGAATTAAAATCAAGTTTTGTAATTTCTCAAATGTATCGATTATGAAACATTTTGTTCGATTTCCGCGAACAAAATGTTTCATAACCTACGACGACAACGCGATAAAATAAGTGATTGAATATTAGGCCTTAAGTCAAAAATAAAATTACCTTTATCAGAAAACTGTAAATAGGAACTTAATTTCGGTGTATTATTTTATACTGAAATTAATAACAAATTCATTTACTTGTTGGTTCTGTAATAATCAAAATCATTCTTGTAAAACTAAATCCTTATTCGTAATTGCTTGATACTATTTAATGAGAGATTTTTTAAATCTTTGTCTTAACTAAAGTAATGTGTAAATATTTACACTTAATAAGAGAACGAATTTTATGGGGATCACTGTTGATAAATACAATTATTTATTAATTTTTAGTGCCAAGGAATATTTTTCAAAGAATATAGTCTGTATATAGATATATAGATATGTATACATAAACATATATGTATCTATAAATAACACAATCATTTAACACGTAATCATATCAATTATAATTACAATTTTTTTTTATTCACACTTTAATTCAGGATCAGTTCGGATAGAATTTTTTACAATATAAATTCTATGGAATTACAACAATTGAAACTTATATATTTATCTTTTGTTATTTGACTAATTCTTCGCGGCTGTACATTATTCGATTAGACGCAGCTCTCTCTGTGCGCGTTCGCCAGCAAGGGTGTTCTGGTGGTGACCACCTCGCGTCTTCTTGATAAGATGCCGCTGGCGATGCTCCGCCGATCCTCGCCGATGGTTCCGATGCTCTGGTGAAAGATTCGAAAAATGAATATCATTAATCGTCATCATTGCCGAAAAGTAACATATTCTAATGATCAAATAAGTGTTATTGTCTTTTCTAATCGTTACATTAAAATTAATTCATTCGATTTTTTTTTAATTTCAGCCAAATCTTGAAATCGTCTCCTTATTTTCAAATATAAGTTCAGTTTTTACTAAAAAAAATACTTTACCTTTATGCTAAGGATGGTTATTGAGTCAGTTTTCGATGCATTTTCTTATTACGTGAAAGATGAAACTTAGAAGTCGATAGAAAAATAAAAATAAGGAATTTTACAAATATCTATACACATATTAAAATAGTTGAGAGAAAAAATATTTACATTAGATATTTGAGAAGGACTATTCTAGGGCCATTAGAAAAGTTAACAGAATACATTTCAATGGTTTTTGTAATTTTTGTCTGTCCGTTGTTCGTGAACTCTACAAGAACTATTGGACGAAATATGATGAAATTTATAATGATCTATATCCTACACTAACACATAGGACAGTTTTTATTTCTTTTAGTTATTTTCCTATATTAGGTATATTTTGAATAAAACCATAATTTGGATCAAGATTGAATACAATATTTAAAAACAAGACGAGAATTAGAATCAAAAGCAGGAACAATATTGGGATCACGGTTGACAGCGGAATTGGGCGTCGTGAAAAAATGTATGAGATGTCTTCGAGGGCGAAGCCGCGTTGAACGAAAACTTAGAAGGAGTACATTTTGATATTTTTTATAATTAATGTATAGACTAGTAGGTATGTAAAAATAAAATAGCATTACATTTATTTTAACACACCAGGAAGTTATCATGAGCAAATGAAACTTGATTTTTTGTATCAAATACCAATAAAAATTACTTACATGTACAAAAAATAAAGAAATCCACTACAGATCTGTGAGAAAGCTTGTTTTTGGAATGTATTCTTATGACCTTACTCTACTGAAATTTATTTTGAAT